AAAAATCAAGTAGCAGCACTTAGGGCGGTGCCTGACTCCAAACTTCTTTTGGAGTCTGATGCCCCCTATTTCGCTAGCAAAAAGGGGGGCCATTCAACACCCTTTACTCTCTATGAAACGGCAGAGATATTGGCGGGGCACAGAGGAGTGGATGTCTCTCACATTTTAAAAATCACTACTCAAAATGGTACTTCCTTGTATAAAAAGGAGTAACCAGGAATTTGAAAAACAAAAACAAAAATGAAAATATGACAAAATTATTTCTTTTTTGGACACTTCAAAAATTTCTAAAAATCTATTTCTTCTCAGTACTTACTAAATTCAAATTTCACTGAAACCCCTCTCCTCTTCCTGATCCGGGAGTTCAGCGGAGCTATGAACGTTAACATCAGTGGGCCTATATTAACCTTATTCATTTTCTTATTTGATTATCATTCATTATTTATTTATATATCATTTACAGATACACTGCTGCACAAGAGCACAATAGCACCTGTAACACTGATATATATCTTTCACTTGTCAAGTTATGTACACAAATATGTGTATTTCAAAAGCACTTCTTGCATTATTGCGCATTCTATTGCAGGACGCAATACAGCACCGCAGCACAGTTTATTACTCTGTACTCTGTATTTCCATTTTATTATTTATTTAGTATTCTGATCTTCTGCCAAATCCTAGGAATGTCCCCAAAATTTTTGATTTCATTTTTTGGCTTTCCAGTATTTTTTCTCGTCAGACTATCACTTCGGTGATGTCGTTAGCATTAACGTCAGTCTGATCGAGGCTGGAAGTCATTGTTATTGAAAAATATTTTGTTACATGCTTAAACATGTATTGTTATTAGTGGAAAAAAAACTTTTTCGGCTCTTTTTAATAAAAGTGGGGGGAATGTTGTGATCGGAGTTTTTCCTTCCTCCACTTGGTCTGCTCTCCAGGTGCCAAGATAGGCCACCTCAGGTGAGTGAGTTAGGCCAGGTGGGGTAAGCACGCCCCCTGCAGGAGATCGTCACTATTGTGACATCACAACTGTCACCCATAGAGTTGTTTAGAGCCTTCACTCCGTGTAGGACGTGTCTAGAGACGATCTACCTACTATTCAATCACAGAGCCTATAACAAAGCCAGTGATCACTCAGCAATTCAGTAAGTAGACACAGTGAATACTTTATTATCAAAGCTGAATTTACCCCAAGACTGAGGTGCACACGTAATATTTTAGTTTCTTTGTTTCTTTAGTTTATTTGAAAGAATAAAATATTGACTTTAGTGTTGTTGTTGATTATTCTTAGCTGTACGTTTTTGGATTCTATTTATAGTGAATTTCGCTATAAGCTTGGTAGTGTATTGTGCTTTGATAGGTGAAATTATTTTGAATCAATTTAATTCTCGCTTACAAATGAACAATGGCGAGTGCATCAAGGTTGACAATCAACCGTGCGACTTACGATGAGCTCGTTACGCTGCCGGGTATAGGTCCTAAATGTGCAGAAAGGATAATATACGCTAGAGAGCAAGGGATCCCCGTGACCAGATCTAACATTTTGGAAATTTGTGGATCCAATACCGGATCAAATAAAATCAAAAATTTCTCTTTTGGGGGTACTCACAGCAGTGAGTTAGGATCTGAATTCAAAATGGGTGACCTAGACCCTAGCGTATTATCCACTCAAAAAACTAATTACACAACTTCTAAAGTGACTTCCTACATTCAGCATGAAGGAAGAGCGGCTGCTGAGAGATATAGGGTGGAATTTGAAAAAATTCTCAAACTGGGTGAGAAAATTCAACACCAAGAACTAATTTCTCGCAGTAAAAATATAAAAAACGCTGCTAATTATTCACCATCAACATATTCTAAATTAAAATCTTGTTCAAAATCCCATTTTCACTCAGCTATTGACCCAAAATCTTTCACATCGCAGCCAGCCACTTTAGCCTCAGAATACGACATTTTTGCTCTGCCTATTGAGAGGCTGCGTGCCAATAACAAAGAAAAAAATGTAACATCATCTGTGCATGCAAAGTCTCCAGGCCGCGTCATGAACCCTGATACTGTTACTTCCTTTCCGAATGGTAAGGACAGTAGTCGGCACTTTGCTCCGTCTGTCCATAAGGGTGATGTGAATTGTGATCTGTATCAGTTTCATGCTCCTAAACCCGGACGGCGGCAACGACATGTTGAGCAAAATTTTGCCGATACAGTTCAACAAAATCATGAGTACCGGTCTAGTTCAATAGGAAAACATTATACGCACCCTAGAATCTCGTCTCCCGTTTTCTGTGGCGAACCACTAATTTATAAAAGGGATAACAGTGAAAAAGAATATTTTCGGCTGCCCAAACCAGGAACAGTAGGTCCAAAAAGTAAAAAGGACAGAGTAGACCCCAGTGATTTACCTAAACAATTATCGTTTAACGGAAACATTGGCGACTGGGAGTCTTTTAGAAAAAGATATGAAAGTTATCGCCAGATAAAAGAGTGGTCAGAAAACGAGTGTCTGGACTACCTTCTGTGGTGTCTTGAAGGCGAGGCTTTGGCACTGTATAATAGCCATCTCAGAGCAAATAAAAATGTGTCGTACACATCTATAATGAAAGAAATGGACTTGGTGTTCGGGATTAAAAAACATCCCGATTCGGCTCGCCTGGCATTTCATACTGCCGTTCAATCGCAAAACGAAACGTTAAACCAATGGCTGTGTCGCGTTTTGTTATTGGTCAGAGATGCTTATCCTGATAAATCGGAGTCTTTTAGGACAAAAGAAACAATATCAAAATTTTGTCAAGACTGTATTGATCAGGATGCTGGGCGTTATACTAGTTTAAAGCATCCAGCAAGCATCAGCGACGCAATAACACATATGGTGGACTATCAAAATGTTTGTAAACCCATGAATATTCAAAAACAAACAAGAAAAATTCGTGAAAAAATTCAAATATGTTCTCTTGATGTTGCAGCTAGAGAAAATCAACAATCTCCATCTGAAAATGTTGAAAAACTAGTTGAGTCCATCATAGAGAAACGCGTCAGCCAGCAGCCAAAATTGAGCACAATTCAATTTAATTCAAGGGCTGACTTGGAAAAAACGGTTGAACATTTGGTCAGGAAGTCCACACCTAAAACATCAAGTGTGTGTTTCTTCTGTAAAAGAAAAGACCATTTTAAAAGAAATTGCCAGAAATATAAAGAGTTCTTAAAACGAAAAAATACTAAAAAAGAACTCGAAAAACAAGAGCGAGCTGATAACACTGAGTCATTTAAACTTAAGGTTCGAGCATCGAGTACATGTTCAAATACATCGTCTCAAATGCATGGCACTGAAAAACCTCACCTTGTAGAACAATCATTGCAGCAAAATCAACTTAGGGGCGTCGAGTGGGAGTCTGATCCTAGTCTAGATCAAAATGCTGGGTTTTCAAGCAATTTCTCGTCCATTAAGTGGTCTCGGGTGTAGATCGGTGGAAAAGTGGACGTGGGTGCGCAGATTTCTGTAATGTGGGGGAGAGTGCATTGCGCGCATTTAATGTTAGCTATCAGTTTTAAGTTACCTCGACCTACTATCTCTTGCTGCTGGGAATTGGGAATTTAGAAAAACAGGTTTGCATGCATAATTTTGGGTCTTTTTAGAATTAACTCTTGTACATGTAGCACCAATGGCGGTTGAAAATTGAAAGCATATGCTCAGTGCAATTTGGGTTTTCTGGAAATTGACGGAAAATGCGGGACTTAGGATTCACAGATCAAAGAAATCAGTGTAAGAGTAGCACCAGTACGTATAGTAAAAAGAAAAGAACAGTGGTATCCCCAAAATCGGAACATGATTCCATGCGAAATCGATAAACAGACTGAAAGGTAGTCATGGAAAGAAATAAAGAGAAAAATGGGGTCACTGATTCAGAGAATGGTGCTGTCCGAAAATTCCGATCAATAAAGAAAACTTCATGTGATAAAGTCATGTGGTAGCTACAGTACTAAATGACATTTTGGAAACCTCTTAATTGTATTGGTATAAGCTTAGGGGGGTGGATTGTAAAGTTAAAAAAAAATCTGTGCCTGCATTATCAGTTACAAAGCTGATGAGACAACATGTACCGATGTACCGGTGGGAACACCTGATATTATTCGTAAAATCAGCTGTTTCTAGAACCGGTATCGAATCTTAAAATACGCTTGTGGGATAAAACATACTAGTGGAGGTTTTCATTCACCCTCCTATAACTGGTAACATCCCTAGAACAAGTGTACACCCGAACTAGACTTAACTTGTGGGATTAAATTCTGCAGGGGTTTCAAGTGTTAATTCCCCTAATTTCGAGAATATCCCTAGAACAAGTAACCGATTGAAAAGGACTAAATGTCACAGACTCTGAAGGTGGGTGGAAGCACTAAGGGCCCTTTAAGTGCCCCATTCACTGGAAGACGTTTGTAAAACTAAAAATTAACACAAAACTACCGGTAGTATAACATCTTTCAAAACTCCAAACATCGGGAGTCCAAACTTAAATGAAACCGCTGGTGACGTTCACATCGGGCTAGACTCTTCGGGTTGCGTGTCTCTAGTAAAACAGGTTATCCCTGGACATCTGGAAGTGATGTTTAAAGTATCTAAAGGGAATAGTGTAGAATCGAATTTAGAAGGGGTGTTTTCTAAATTGAAATATGTTTTTACTAGAGACAGTTTTGATCTTGGTCGGTCTTAAGTCACTCAATGTGGAAATGAATCCGAGAATGCCGAATCTCTTACATTGCGTGTGCGGTGGATGCTTGCGTGTTTCATGCAGAAAGCATAGGGGGCATTGTTAACGGAATGTCAACATTTGGATTCATGCAGGGCTGACAAGAGTCTCAGTCTGTGTGGACATCAGCACCAGTGTTAAATTTAAATAAGAAAATGTGACGTCACAGTGAAAATTTTCCAACAGGGAAAATTAAAAATATTGCTAGCAATATCCTTAAAGAATTAGACTATCACTCTGTGATGTAGTTTATTTTTGTGTTAAATAACTACAGTCTATTAGACTATCACTCTGTGATGTAGTTTATTTTTGTGTTTAAGAAAAATGGCTACAGTCTATTGAGATCATTGGACTATAACTGTTATGTAGCTAATTTCTGTGTTAACACATGACTACAGTCCATAAGACTATCACTCTGTGATGTAGTTTATTTTGTGTTAATAAATCGCTACAGTCTATTGTGATCAATGGACTATAACTGTTATGTGGCTTATTTTTGTGTTAACACGTGAAGTCCTACAGTCTAATTTGATGAAATTTTTGAAATACCGGGATCTTATTTTTGCATTCCATTTTTCTTTTCATTTATTTATGAGAATTTTTGGAACGGACTATCACTATATTTTTGGTGATGTGACTGGCTGATGAATGAACAGCCTATCACAGTCTGTTCTACTGTTTATTTTTTTTTGTATTTTTTCGGCGTACTATCACCTCAGTGATGTTGTTAGCACTAACAGCTAATGACAGTCTGTACGAATATTTCAGCTGGAATCCACTTTATTTCATTTATCGAAAGGAATTTTGAGTTTGTACATGGACAAACATGTATTTATAAGTAGCTCCTTTCAAATAAAAGTGGGGGGAAATGTTGTGATCGTGCATTTTCCTACCTTCACCCGGTGTGCTCTCCCTGCGCGGAGAGCGCGCAATTACGGTAAGTACTGCGCACACCAGGTGGAGAGCCCAACTTCCCTGCCTGATCCCGGTGAGTACAACTCAACCCTAGCTACCGTGCAGACGTGTACGGTACAGACGACGAAAATAATCAGAATTGAGACACAATACACAGTGATCTACAATCTCACTCCGTAAGTAGAACCAGTGAATACTTTAGCACATTCCATCCACCGTATGGGAGGGAACGGATTTTCAACCAGTCACACCCTTCTACAAGGTGAGATCTCAAAGTAATCGTCAATTTGTCATCGTAACGACTGATAGTTACTTGTACGTAAAGATACACGAAGTGCTTATTAGGCTTCGTTAGAGAGACATTTGTGTCGATCGTCTTGAGTGAGCCTTGCTCGTTGCGATTGGTCTCCGGATTGGACTTTGTCCCGGGGATAGCACTGTGATTGCCATCGGGACAGGTGAGGGCGTATTCGGCTTTGATGTGTCTGCTGTGTTTGTTGCCAGGACCGTATGTGGAGAGAGCTGGGCTCAGAATCTCGAAAGGATTGCTATGTTGCTAGTGCGATTGCACCCACCTGATATCTCGAAGAATTGGCAAACGCAACGCAATAAATGCCTGTCCGGAAGTACAATTATAGTCTCGAACACACGCGTACGCCTAGCGGTTCTTTTTTGTTTTGAGGGACGATAGTAAATCGAACGTGAAATCGAGAAACACAGCAGGGAGCGTTATAAAACCGATGAGCTCGCGGTGTTGGTGGAGGAGGTCTTGTGTAGACCTACACTATTTAGCCCCTTCACCAACACCGTGACTCTAAAGTCCAAAGAAAAACAATGGGCTGAAGTTGCCCAAAAGTAAGTTGAATAATTATGATTAACAGTCCTTTTCTGTTAATCGAAGTCTGTTTTGCCATGTTAAAATTATATCCATTATATTTAATTATTGCTTATAGATGATTTAGTTTGGTATGTTGTTGTAGTTATTCAATAAAAGTAATTGTAATTGCTCTCTATTAACACATCTTGGCATGGTCATGCACAGTATGATGAAGCAATAAAGTGGTGATTCTTATATATATTTTTTTTATTAAAATTATGAATGCTTTCCTTTTAGAGTTAACAGTGTTTCACATATAAAGAGGAGTTTCCGAGAGCTCAGGAAAAAATGGCATGACCTCACGTCTCGCACTATATTATAAGCGCAAAGAGGCCAAACGCCGTGCAGCAATGCGGCAGACAGGTGGTGGTGTGGGGCCCAGTCCACTGTCAGAGTGGAAGAAGAAGGCGTGATTTTGTTATTTATTTAAAAAAAAAATGAATTTGTATATTAAATTGCACAACGGCTAACTTCGTTTTATATTTAATTGCTTTAAGAACATCAAGATGATATTAAGTAGAGTAATTAACTTAGACTGACTCTGTGAATATGAATACGTCAACACTGAGTTTCACAGACATGCCCTATTGGAATGTCCAATCACCAGGAGGCATATTTTATATATACATATATCTCTATATGTTTATACTGATCAGGTAATAGAGATAATTGGAGAAACTGCAGTAGAGGGTATCAAAGAATTGGCTGGAAACGAAATTTAATTATAATGAATTAGCCTAGTAAAGGTCAAACGATATAGCTACAGTGTATGAATTTGATGTATGAAATTGTAATAACTGCTTTGGAAGAAATATTTGACCAAGTTATTCAACTTAGTTCTTGAAAGTGGTTTAAATGTAATGTTTGGTAATAAAGTACATGTATTTGTTCTTATGTAGATGATAGTAATGCAGAATCCACCTCCATGAATACTAGGAATGATAGTAATGCAGAATCCACCTCCAT